TCGGGAGGTTGAGGCAGGAGGATTGCTTGAGACCAGGAGTTCCAGGTTGCAGTGAGCTGATGATGCCACTGCACTCTACCTGGGGCGACAGAGTGAGACTGTGTCTCAAAAAAAAGAAAAGAAAAAACATATTCAAATATATCACAAAAATATTCAAATATATCTCAAAAGGAGAAATAGGAGAAGTCGTTCTCCTTTCTGTAAGATTAATTCTGAGATAAAACTTTTCACTGGCTCTCCTTTTAATTAATTTTTTCTGGTAAACACACTCCTACTGCCACACATCTCTCTTGGAAAATAAAACAGCTCAGGACCATATGTCCCTAACAGCAGTAGCTTACAAGCTGCAGTTAAGGTAAAGGTCAAACAGATGTAGGAAGTGACCAAGCACACTCAACAAAATGCCACATGGCCTAATTTGCTTCCAGGGCTAATGCCAAATGTTTGCACGCAGTGCTTGTCATAAAATCCAAGCTGTTGGGCTCACTGCCACTTACGTTTTGGAAAGGCAAGTTTTTTTCTATAACTAGATCATAGTGACCGTACAGATTCTGAATTACAACAAACTTTGAATTATCTTGATTAGTGGGGTAACAACAGCAAACAAAAGTTACAAATACCTCGAAGGCTCTAGTGGAGTTTATACTCGGTCAACTTTTTACACATTATTAAGAATTGATTTTTAAAATCAATTTTGATTGTTTTGTCTCTCGTTTGGCTGGTGACCTTTGGGCACATTGGTTGACTTAGCAGAGAAAGAAGTGAGTAGGAAGGAGGAACCAGAAAGAGATTTCAAAGCTACCAGGTTGATGAATTATCACGCAGGATTAGCAGAATGTGACAACCCATCTTCCCAAATCAGACGTTCTCAAAAAGTTAGGGATCTTACTGTAGTATAGGGTCCAATGCTGGGTTCTTATTGCTGAACCTCAGAAAGATGATTGTTAAGCCTCCACTGGAAAAAAATCTTCAAAAGCACTCTCTCCTTTTTCATACCTCTGTTAGAAAGTTCTGTCAGCCACAGAGACACAAAATGCATTGCCATGTAACTTAACCTGTCATAACAACGTCCACTATACCCACTCACAAAGGCCTGCTTTATGAAGATGATTTTCAAAACATGTGCAGCTAAAGTCATAATCCATTTCTATTCCTTTTCATGTTATAATAAGGGAGTGGATTTCTCGATTAAGGTGCATATTAAAACTGGCCTCTGGTACCCTCTCTTTACACTAGGCTTGCCTTGCTCTCCTATTTTCTCTTATTCACTTAATGGATTTTTGCTGAGCACCTGCTGTATGCCAGGAGCTAGGCAGGCACAGGCCCTGTGGCTGGAGGAGGAGCAGGTTTGCCTCCAAGGAGCCGTCACTCTCGGAAATTATTCAAGCCCTGGGCAGGAAACAGAAAAAGGTATTCTGCCTTGGGTCGTGGAGAAAAAAGGAATTTTTCATGTCTGAGTAGACACATGTCCACACCGGAAAAGCACAGGCAGACCTAGGGAGCCTGTATCTCGGGGGCAGGGTGGGGAAGAGCGTGCAGACGAAGGAAGCTGACAGACACACGGCCCCTAGGGCCATGGCGTGGCACCGGCATCACCCTTACATTCCATCCCGTCCTGTGGGTGTTTCCGTTCTGTTTATTTTTTCAAAGGAGGGCTAGAACACAAGCGATTACTCAGCATCTCCATCATGTTTCATGTGTGCAAAACCCTCCTGCCCTCTCCTAGTCCTGAACTGCCCAAAATAATAAAGGAATTTGAGACTCCAGCCAAGAACTCCAGGTACTTAGCAGATACAAGAATGTATCGCTGGGCATCTGGCAAGGCAGGCACTGTCTATTTATTTATTTATTTTTTGAGACAGTCTCACTCTGTTGCCCGAGCTAGAGTGCCGTGGCACCAGCCTAGCTCACAGCAACCTCCAACTCCTGGGCTCAAGCGATCCTTCTGCCTCAGCCTCCCGAGTAGCTGGGACTACACAGACATGCGCCACCATGCCCGGCTAATTTTTTCTATGTATTTTTAGTTGGCCAAGTAATTTCTTTCTATTTTTAGTAGAGACGGGGTCTTGCTCTTGCTCAGGCTGGTTTCGAACTCCTGACCTTGAGCGACCCACCCGCCTTGGCCTCCCAGAGTGCTAGATTACAGGCGTGAGCCACTGTGCCCAGCCTCTCATTTTATTCATCAGGCATTGTTTAAAAAACTAATCCCATAAAATAAACAGTATTGAAAAAATATAATCTCGTATAATAATCCATCTGTCAAGCTGATATGCCACTCAGTAAACTCATGATGTAGACTCCTGTTCTAAATCCCCCCCCCCGCCATTCACACCTGGACATGTGTCCGCTTTTAAGGAACAGGCACTGATGTCCTTCTTTGAGAAGAAAGAGTTCTATGGTTGACACAGCCAATACTTTATGGTAGCAGTTAGGAAGAAAATTGGCTTCTTGTGACCTACAGCACGTGGACCATCATAATGAAGATGCAACACTGAAGTAGTTAACTGTTTCTGTATAATTGTCCACTGGGCCAGCACCTCCTACAAGCCACCACTGTGTCAACTGCAATATACTAGAAGCATGTGGCTTTTGGAGTTTGGGGACTCAAGTTCATGGTATTTGAAATGGATGGGTTTGTGTGCCTGTGTTTACAGTTATATTTAACTAAGCTCAGTGACTACTTCAGCTTGGTCCCCAGGAGTGCTGCCTTTAGGGATGTTCATTGGCCAACCAGGAGACCACTTGGTAAAGTGTAAATATAAATAGTGAACACACTTAAAATTACTATCAGTATGAACCCTCACAGGATAAAGTTCTTCAATGAATCATTTCAGGAAAATATACTGGGGTCACATAAAAATGAAGAAAGAATTTCAACGATGTATTTTAAAAACATCACTTACTTTGCTTCAGAGCAACTCTCCATTCTTCCCTCCCACACTCTGCAGGATAATTAGAAAAGCTTGGCAAAACCACACACACACACACACACACACACACACACACACACACACTGGCACGCACGCACGCATGCACACAAGAGTTAACACGGAAGTGAAGAATTATCAAGTCAAGACCTGAAAGAGACCAAAACCTAAAAAGACCAGCCAAGCAGCTGGGGCTGCTTCCCTCTTGGGGCATCTGCTCATTTAAGGAAAGATCCAAGCTGAGAAGTGAAGCAACATTTCCGACAGCCTTGTAGGGCCAGGAGGATAAAATCTGGAGCCCGAGACTACCAATGAGGTGGCTGTCATTTTAGACAAAACAGAGTAAGGCATAATGCAGTACTCCAGATAAAAGCTTTAATAAACAGAAATGAAAAGTTGAACCCGTTTAACGTAACAATTCTAAACTGCTAGGCACCTCTCAACAGGTCTCAGAATGCATAAAAGCAAACAACTGACATTACTGTAAAGAGACACAGACAAATTAGAATCACGGTGGAAGATTTAGCATAGTTCAATCAGTAATAGAAAAGCAGGAAAAAAAGTTAGCACACAACAAATTTGAAAAGTGACTAAGAAATTTGAATGTAATTAACATATATAGAACTTTGCACCGAATGGCCCTTAAATATGCATTCCTTCCAAGCCCATATAGGAAAGTTAGAAAAACTAAACATATGCTTTTCACTTGCACAACAGGAAAATGTATGCCCACAGAGGCTAGACAGAGTGGATTAATCTGCCCCCTTGACAAAGAGGTGTGCCCTCATGAGGCTGGAGGGGACTGTGATTTTCATGAGTAAAGGAGTCCCCAAAAGATAAGTCCTGGTGACTTAGAATCAATGCTTGGCTGGGCCTGAGACAATGAGGGCCAAAGCAGCAGAGAGAGAATGGACAGGGAAGAGTGCACACTAGCTCTTAACTCAAAAAGCCGCCTCTGTCTCCCACCTGCCCCTGGGACCTATACGGTTGCACCGAGTGGTGTGGAAGGGAAAAGGATAATACGAAACCCCAACCCTCTGCCAAACACTAAAGAGAAGCAACGATAACAACAGAGTCTCCCACGCAGACGGGCAGATGACTTGGCTTTTCTGTGGCCAAACCTGGCTTCCTTTCCTCCTGCCTTCCCATCTCCCCTTCCTCATCCTGCATCATCCTGTCCCATCCTAGGAACGCACGTGGGACCCTGGAGGACCACCTTGCATTGCACCATCAATCATATTTACATGGGAGAGGGGGCCAGACCCTGCAAATGCACAGTCCCTGTTGATTCTGCCTGGCTTCTACCTCATCCCCACGCCATCCTTCAGAGAGAGCAACTGGGCCCCTAAAGATTGTTCTTGGCTTTGATCCCCAACTTCAGCAGCCTGAATGTGCTTTATTGTGCTCTGCGGGGTTTGGACTAGAAATGTGGCTACGTGGAGGAAGCCTCCTCATAGGATTTAGAGAACCCGAGTTGCAGCTAGAGACCCAGGGTGGGTGCAGACATGCAGGTGGTCCTAAGGACCGCCCTATAGCCCACGACCAGGTTAACTGAACCGCCACCCTCGTCCGACCTAGTTGGAGCAGACAAGTAGGCTTTCTGGACTGGCTGCAGTCTTGACCTAATTCTCTGAAAGTATCACAGCAACTCCAGGAAGTCTCTCTCCCTCATTTCTTCCCCCAACCTGGCAACATTAAGTGCTGAGTAGAAAGAGCCCCTCAATCTGCAACGCTTCCTCTGGGCCACTGCAAACCCCACGTCCCAAGCATGTCCCCACGAGCCAGCTCTGTAGCTGATCCTTCTGCGCCCGGTGGGTGCAGCATGACGACACTGCCCTTCCACGTCCACATGTCCTGACTCCTTGTCTGCACACGTCTGTCCTCATGCATGCAGAGGGCTGTTTTGAAATCACCCTCAGTACAAAGTTGTGTCACCCAAGTACTTCCTGGATTTTTACTATCGCGGCTTCAGGAAGTAAAGCATGTTGATGTTTACTCTAAGTGCTTTATTAATAAGTAACTTCCGCTGTTTTTGCCCTCGCCCCGGGCTGGTAGAAGGCCAGCCGGACTTACCCTCATACATCTCCAGGATGTGGACCGTGTCGCCAATCTGCAAGGAGAGCTCCACATCTTGAGAAGCATTGTAGTTATAGATCGCTGGAAAGGAGAAATAAAAGGGGGAAATTAGAATCTATGTCACTAAATGGCACATTCAGGGGTTCGTGAACGATTTGATAATTTCATGTGAATTCCCCACTGTGAAGCAGAGAAGGGACCCCCGTATTTCCTCTATCCAACAAATATTGATTGTCTGCCTACCATGGATCATACACTGTGTTAGAGACCAGTGACAGAGTGACAAATCACATAGACACAGCCCGTCCCCAGGGAACTTAACGGTCTAGTGCAAGGGAGAAAGGTATTAAATATACAATCACAGAAGTAACTATGTAATTAAAATTGTAATAAGCTCTAGGAAAAAAGAAAGCAGGCTACAATGAGAACACACTGTGGGGTCTATTGGTCAGCGCCCCTGTTAACTGGACAACAGCCAGCCTACAATACTGCTGGGCTAATGATCTCTAGGGCATAGGGGAGCCATCTCTTGGCTTCCTGGACATAGTATCTGGTGGCCAAAAGGCCACTTGTGAGTCCCATCTACCCTCCGGTGACAGACTGGCACGGCGTGCAATGCAGGGATGGCGCAATGCAAGAATGGCACCTGTCCCAGCCCAAGGCACCCTGGGAACCAGCAGCCTTCACTTCCCAATCACAGTGACCTCAGCCACCACTGTCCTTAAGACTGACAATGGCTGGGCCAGGGTGTGGAAACCAGGAGCCTAGCTCTTAACTCAAAAAGAGGAAGACAACCCAACTTTAAGACAGTCAAGAGCTTGGAACAGATATTTTACCAAAAATTATCTATGCATGGCTAAAAAGCACATGAAAAGATATTCAACACTATTAGTCATTGGGGAGATGCAAAGTAAAACCACAATGAGACACCACTTCACACCCACTAGAATCGCTATGGTATTTTTTAAAAAGGCAGCTAATTGGCAAGAATACGGAGAAACCAGAATCTTCACACGTTGCTGGTAGGAATGTAAAACGATACAGCCCCTTCTTAAAACAGTTCGGCAATTTCTCAAAAAGTTAAACATCAATTTGCCATACAACCCAGCAATTCCTTTCCCAGGTATCTACAAAGAGAAATGAAATCATATATAAGTCTATATAAAAAATTTATGTGAATGTTCACAGCTGAAAAATGGCTCTCCCAAAGATACCCACATCAACTCCCTGGACCCCGTGCATGTTATCTTGTAGGACAAAAGAGCTGATTAAGTTAAGTATCTTGAGAGGGATAGCCTCTCCTCAACTATCAGGGTGGGCCTTAAGTGTCACCACAAATATACCTACGAGGGAGACGGAGGGAATTGTGACAGACACGCGGGAGCGAGAGCAATGAGAAGATGGAGACAGGCATTGGAATGATGAAACTTCAAGTCAACTGCCAGCAACCAAGACCTGGACGAAGCAAGGAACGGAATCCCCCCTGACAACCTCCAGAGCGAATACGGCCCTGTCCACGCCTTCATTTCCGAATTCCAGTCTCCAGAACTACGAGATATGAATGTTTTAAGCCATCAAGTTTATGGTCTTTGTTACAGCACCCACAGTAAACCAGGACAGCAGCAGTAGTCACAACAGCCAGAAAACGGAAACAAAAAGGATAGAATAATATGGCATTATCCACACAATGGAATACTACTCAGCAACAAAAAGGAATGGAATATACACAGGTGCTACGACGTTGACGAACCTCAAAAACATTACACTAAATGACAGAAGCCAGATGCAAGAGACCACATATTTTACGATTTCATGTATTTGAAACATTGAGAATATGCAAATCTGTGGGAGACGGTACAGCAGATCACGGCTGCCGGGGGCTGCGGTGGGAATGCTGATTGGGCATATGGGGCACTAGGGAGCTTTTTGGGGAGACAGAAACATCCTAAACTGGATTGTGGTGATACTTACACAACTCTGTACATTTACTAAAAATGTATATACTTAAACCATATGGATTTTATGGGAACTTCAAGGAAGCTATGGTTTGAGGATTTTTTTGTAAGATTTGTGTCTTGCCCTCACTGTACTGACGAGTGATCTGCATCCTTCCAAGGAAAAAGAACCACCTTAGAGGTTGAGCTCCGGCCATTTATGTGCTGGCCCACGGAGCCCACGCTGCTCCCGTCTCTGCAAGTCTGACAAGCACCTGAGGATGTGCTCATGCTTGAGCCCTCTGCACAGCCCACAATCACAGAAACAAAATCCTACTCATAATTAGGAAAGAAAAGTGTCCCTGTCATTGCCAACGATGGGTGCTCCATGCTCTTCCCTGAGTGCATTTGACACCTGCAGCGTGGCTTACGTCCCAATTCATTTGTGAATGGGAATGAACACACGTGTCCCCCCACCTCTTTTCAAGTGGCCTCTCCTTTATGGAAGAAGTCATCCACATGGTGTCCTTCTGTAGTCCCGGCACAAAAGCCGGGACAAATTATGTTGGAATTTATTTCCCTGTTGAGCTTTTGGTCTAGACTATGAATTCCAAACAAGGACTGGCTCCTGAAGTGGTGGAAATGTAGAAGACTCAGAAGGAAGAGTTAGTTCCCAATTCCTAGACCTGCTCATGGGTCACTGGGCCACAGCTGCCATTCCATGGAAGTTCAACTCCCTCATCTGCTGGTTCTCGAATGTTCTGCCTCTAAGAGTGTGGCTGGTTTTCTGCAGAAATGCAAACTTTACATCCTTGATGCCCGCTAGTCTCCCATTCTCAGCCTTCTTCTGAAACGGTTCCTTCCACCAGCCCCACTCTCGGATAGAAACAGGAAGTATGAGGTCACTGTGTCACACAGCGTTCTGTAATGGCCAAGCTTCATCTCTTCCTGGTTCTTAGTCATAGGGAAAGCAAGCAGAAGCTGTCAAAGGCAGCACCTAGCACTGGTATCTCCAAGCACAAACACCTACCAAGGACTATCGGAAACACACACACATGCACGCAAACATGCACCAAAGACCAGTATGTTTCCTTCAAATCTAGACCCCTCAGCCTGACTCAAAGTGCTCCAAAAGTTGTCCCAGCCTTAATTACCCATCTTTGTCTCCACCATCTGCCAAGTTCCAACCCCTTCTCCAGTCATGACTCGTATATTCTCCCCTAAATTCTGGCCTCAATCCGTGGTTTGTCCCTGCCTAGAACGACAGCCTGTTTTTGTCTTTATAACAATCCAAATCTCACATCCACAACTCAATTCATCAAATGACTACTGGCTCCATACTACATGCACGGATTTTTCTTCTCTGACATCCCATAATTTTTCCTGTTAGCACAGTTTGTGTCTTTAATCACAGATAATCTTGTGTAATTGTCTGCCAACAACTATTAAGAGAAGGAAACCTCCCCATGAACGGAGACCAGATTACACATGATTTTTGTGTCTTTCTCATTACAAGGTGTGAGCTTCAACCCAAAGAAGGTACTAAAGATGTGATAATGACTTTAGAAAAGAACTTTTTTTTTTTTGAGACAGAGTCTTGCTTTGTTGCCCAGGCTAGAGTGAGTGCCGTGGCGTCAGCCTAGCTCACAGCAACCTCAAACTCCTGGGCTCAAGCAATCCTTCTGCCTCAGCCTCCCAAGTGGCTGGGACTACAGGCATGCACCACCATGCCCGGCTAATTTTTTCTATATATATTAGTTGGCCAATTAATTTATTTCTATTTATAGTAGAGATGGGGTCTTGCTCTTGCTCAGGCTGGTTTTGAACTCCTGACCTCAAGCAATCTGCCCGCCTCGGCCTCCCAGAGAGCTAGGATTACAGGCGTGAGCCACCGCACCCGGCCTAGAACTATTTTTTTAAAAGTAATATTTTTATCCCTTCTACAAAAAACACCAAAATGTTCAGTTATTCACCACTTCTTCCCCAAACTCAAACACACTTCTGCTTTCTTGTGGAGAGGCAGCTACGGTTTCCCATCACTCAAGAAAGGGATCCTAAAATTTCTTCTCCAGCCACTTTGTGTATCACAAGACAGAATCTGCCTTTCCAACCTAAGCTTACAAGAGATTCATGTAGGAAGCACATCCCTTCAACAATGCCTTTCGCCAGAGTGACAAGTCACCACTTAGAGGACGTTCGTACAATCCGTTTCACGTCTGGGCAGAAGTACAAACAAGATTTCCAATCACCTACAGCCATCGTCTGTTCATTCCCAACTCTTCACTTAGTGGCCTGCCTTTTATATCCCTTACTTTAATATACCTCATGTTCCCATTCTATTTCATAGTTTCACTTTATATACAATACATCTTAGTAACTATATGATGTGGATGCAGGTGCCATGTCATTTAACCAGGAAGCTGAGATTCAGATGGGTTAAACCCAGCTTGTGAGCAGCAAAGCTGTTACTAAAGATAGTCCATTCACCACATTTGACCAGGCTGGTCGGTGATGTTGAAGGTATGCCCTGGAATATACTAGAAACAAAGATAAATGCCAGGATTTCTCTCATTAAAGGAGACTCCTACTTGCAAAAACAAGCTTTATCATAAACCAGTGACTGGTGATCATGTTGCCTGCTAGTGTGGTGGAATTTCGAGAACAGGAATACAACTAATGTACTCAGTGGCCCATATTTTCTCCCTAAAAGGTGAATAACTGTTACAGAGAAAGCTAGAGAAAAGGGAAACCAAGGAAGACCTTAGAGTTAAGCAAAACAAAATCCAAGACTCACTGTTACCATTTACATGTTGCATGACCTTGAATGAGTTGCTGAATCTGGGCCTTAGTTTCTCATCTGTAAAATGGGGTTGGCTCTAAAGGCCCCTCTGGCTCTAACGTCTTCTGTGCATGGGGTGACAATAAGAGGCAAAAGAAACACGTTGTACCATTTTTGAACGAGCAGGCACCACCACAATCTCTTGTTTTGACTGGAAAAATTAAACAAGTACAGGGAGCTGCTGCACATACTACGTGCAACGAGGGGAAAGACAGATTGCTGGAATTCTTCCCTAAGTAGCTTACTGTTTATAACAGGAAAGTATAATTTTGCAGAGCCAAGTAGACAAGACATAATAGTTTGCATTT